TTGAGGGAATTCATTAAAGGTGGGCCCATTCTACTTAATCCTGCTCAGTTGAAAACATGTGATCAAGTTAGCTTTTGTCATCCCAACAAACTAACAGTCAGATGGCTAGGTCTTAGCCTGACCTGAAACGTCTGGCCAAAGAAGCAGCACTGAAAGAGTCAGAATTGAGAGGACAATCTGCTTTCTATTTGAAAGATTTTACGAATGATGGAAATTATCTTGTACAAGATTCAGACTCCAAAAGGAGAATAGGGCGGTCATGGGTCCCATAGTAGAGGACATTTTTATTGAATAGACACTTCTCCATTTGAAGGCATCCTCTCTTTGAAGATCTATAGAAATTTCAAGTCCGGAATCATAACAAGGAGGGCAGGAGCGTGGAAGTTATAGAATGAAAAGGCATGTAGATTTCATAACCACAGCTCTCAGCCAAATGAGGATTATTGTTCTAAATGACAGCAATTATTTCCTAATCTTCCACTATCCACAAATATCAGCACATGCACCTTTTATGCAATTATGTGCCCTTTTCTTGCCTTCTACTTCTTTGGGTGATGGATAGATATGCAGGTATAATACATACCATATCAGTGTTAAGACTTTTGCTGTTATTGTCAGTAGCAATATTTGCTGTATTGCAATTATTTTCTGAAAAATAGAATGGCTGTTTTGCTCTCTTACCTTGGAGTAAAACTGGACATAATGTGGTTTCAATAATCCACTTGCAAACTAGTTCAGAAGCATAGAAAGTAATTCATTTTAGCTAAGCAACTGCATCTTTGACTTTTTTCTCCCCTCATTTACATGTTTCTATAATATATTACAATACTGTGCTCCGCTGCCATGCAACCACTTCAGAAATAGAAAATGGTACAAAAAGGAAGAGAAGAATGTGAGTTGAAAAGCATTCTGTCCTGTGAATATCTGGAGTGTTTGCACATAGCTGAAATAAAGCTACTTTGTTGGCAGAATCAGAAAAGTAATGAAAAGTATGTGTAGGATCAGAAAGGTTTATGCTCATAAGCAATGAAAACAAACTATTAAGCCAGACCGACATTGCTAGGAAGTGTTCCTGAAACTCTGGAGTAACTGTGTGCAGAGTTTTCATAATGGGTATTTGGAAGCAAAGTTTAACATCAGCCTAAAAGAAAGTAACTGAAAGATGAATGCCAAATGTTGCAAATACTTACTAGCAGTTTCTTAGCAATTAACACTTTAAAATGAACACCAGATCAGCAATTAATCTCTTCTGATTCATATTGAGAACGTGTAACCCAGATTAGCTGCCTTTTCAAAGAAGGTTCTAAAGGAGCAACTCTTGTATCCGGAGCTTACAATCACTTCTCAAGAGCAAAAGCCTATAGAGAAATGTGCTAGCAGAACTGGATGGCAAAAGGAATGCTATAAACTTGTTTCACAAGTGCAAGCAGGAAAGACTTGGTTTGTAAATGGTTACCAGCTCACTGCTGCATTAAAAATGGCAACAGAGCCTGCTTTTTTATGTCTCCTCCTCATGCCTTGATACTTCCACCAACTGCCTTTTACCCAGCTGAAGTTGCCATGGACTTGGGTGATGCCCACTTCCACCCCTTACAATATGGCAGCAAATTAGACTGATTTTAAAGCTACATGTCGCAGACCAATGGGAATATGAGAAGAAGTCACAGCTGGCACCTATTCTTCAGGTGAAATAGCCTCACTTATCAGGGATCTCAAGAACTGATAAGCAGTGGAAGGAATTGCTCTGGGATATTGTTCTATCTCTCCTACATTTTAAAAGATAGTCTGATTTATGTACATACAGCAGTAGCTGCAAATGAAGAGACTGATTTTGGGTGTGTGTATGTTTGTGTTTTAAACCCTTCTAATGGCCTTTTACTCATATAAAAGAACACGATTGATAAGAACAGGCTGAGGATAGGCAAAAATGTAGTAAACACAATAAAAAGGAAAGCTATTAATTCAGTGCCTGCACACAGATATCATAGAATCAGGACATTCTTGAGTGTTTGGGGCAGAGTTTCAGAGGCAGGGATTCAAACTGGTGCATATGTGTGGAATGGGAAATAGGAAATTAGCAATGCATTTAATGTCCATTTGAATGATGGTACCTATGTAAAGGCCCTGAAATAGAATCAAATTTCACCATGCAGTTTCATAGGACTGATGTTCAAAAATAAGCATCTCATCAACTGAACACCAAACAACCTGACATCCAAACTTCTGCATTTCCATCTATTATTTTCTTCTACTGTTCCCAACGTCAAGCTCTACTTCACCAGAAGGTTTAGTTGTTGCATCCATAGAATTTTGCTTGGTCCAGAATGGGCTAAACACTATGAATGATTTCACAGCATTGCCTTTGGAAGAAACTCCACGTTTCAAGAAATAGATGGGGAAAATGGCACATTGGTCTCTTTGGAAAACTGAACTCAATTGGAATTCAGCAGTTTTTGCTTCTTAATACTGGCAATCCAGGGCAGAAATGGATAGGTGTGACTACATATGATAAAATGCACATTTTGTGTACAAATTGGCCATTGTGGTAGTGAAGTGGTTGTGTATCTCTGCCACTGAAGTCTACATGTCATTTTTAATATCCTCTCACAAATATTTCTGAAAGGAATTGAGATGTAATAATTTGAGCTCTGGGCTGACAGTGGAGGAATCAGATATTCTTTTTCCCATCTTGGTGGTGAAGCCTGGCTGATTTTCCAGAAGTAGAAAATGAGCCCCTAGTGCATTAACATTTGAAGCTTCTTCTTAAAATACAGTTTCCTGTGGAGAAGTAGATACAGCGTTATGCAACTTCATCTATATCTTATCAAAGAAAGGAAACAGCCCAAACCTGCCCCACCAAAAATGTATGAGATACTTTAGCTGAAAAGTGTCAGACCACTCAAGGGCATTACCTGCTGAATTTCTGTGACAAAAATTATGAACATTGCATATAAAGCTATCTGAAAAACAGAAATGCAGAGATACAGATCTTATATCTTCCTCTCTCATTGGCTATCATGAATGTTTTGTAAACTTGATTTGCAATTTTTGTCAGAATATTTTATTTATGTTGGTCAAGCCAGGTTTTTATGTAGGTCAAGCCAGGTTTTGGCACAAAATTGAGAGCTGGACTGAAATTCCTACTCAGTCAGAAAGCTTATTAGATAACATTGAGTGTCTTGCCTTACCTACCTCACAGGGTGTTGTGAGAATAAAAGAATAACTATGTACACTGTCAACCTCTGTACAGGTAAGGAAGGATATTAATGGAGGAAACATGTAAAGAAATGATGAAAAATGCCTTTCACTCAGTTTCCTTTCCTTCTGCATAGACAATATGATTCAAATACAACTAAAACTGAGTTTGGAGAAGACCAAACTGAGATATCATTAAGGATATGTTTGCGAGCAAATACCCAATGATCTGCTTTCAGATAGTCAGGCCTGAGCTATAGTGATAAAAGCAGCAAAGCATCTTTATCTCCCCTCTCTTATCGTATCAGCAGGCTGTCATCCAGCAGTCTTGTTTAGGGTGGCATATTGGCTTTTGGAAAGAAGCCAGGATCAAGAGCTCTTGCCTGGCAGCACAACACTTTGCTGACCAAGTCACTTAGATTTGCTATGGTCTTGATTCTACATGGCCAGAGCCCAGGGAGAGGCCAGAGTGCCATCTTGCCAGGTTACCTTGGACTCCTTTGGGCCTGTCCCCGCTCATGAAGTGGATGGGGTGTTTTCTAGCACATCCTCTGCCTCCTGCAGGCTGGATCCTTGCCCTTCCGAGCTCCTGTGGATGGCCAGGGAGGAGAGTGTTACCTGGATCTGGGAAGTAGTCAGTGTCTCATCGCAGGAGGGGGTGTGGCTGGCAGCCTTGAAAGAAGCTGAGGTGCCCCCCTCCTTAAAGGGTCCTCCAGGGATCCAGAGGTAGTGGTTAACTACCACCCAGGCTCCAACTCTTCAGAGAAGTTTGTTAAAACAAGGGTGGGGGACCATGAAGCATCCTACAGGAAAGAGATTATCTGGACTCTTTCCCATCAGGGTTCAGACCCAGACATGGGACAGAGATGACAATGGTTGATCTAATGGAGTACCTTTCTTGCGAGCTGGACTGGAGCACATCCATCCTGCTCCTCTTAGACCTCTCAGCGGCCTTTGATAGATACCATCAACCATGGACTGCCTGTGGGGGTTGGAGGCCCTGCAGTGCCCTGGTCCTGCACCCTCCTCAGAAGCCAGTTCCAGCTGCTGGGAGTAGCACCTGCTTCTCTGTGGGGTGCCAGAAGGGTCACCTCTGCTTCCCCGCCCCCATTTAATAGCTACATGAAACTGCTGCGTGAGGTCATAAATTGGCTTGGGATACAGTATCAGCAGAATTTTTTTTTTACCGTGGACATTTTAAATGTACGTATATATCTGTGAACCACTGAAAGACCTGAACTGAAGTGCAGCGGGATATACCGTATTTTTCCGACAATAAGACGCCCCCATGTACAAGACCGACAAGACTTTTCCAACCCAAAATTAAGAAATCAGTATTTTAAAGATAGTGCAGAACACACTTTTATTTAGTAATTAGGTAACTTTGACCTGATACACTCGGTGGGAGGAGGTCCAAACCGTCTCTCTGCAGCTCTATTTCCA